CAAAAGATTGTCGATATGAAGATTATGGATTGTCACGTGGATACGCAATATTTTTATTGATATATTGTATATACGATGACTGGTGAAATTTATGATATATTTTTATTTTGATTTGAATTGTATCTATTGAACGAATTTTAATTTTGTTATTATGTTACGATATTATGCTATGATATATTTATAATTGTAAATCATATTTATAATTGTATATATATTATGCTTATATTTTTGAAAAATAAAGAGCTAGTATATAAGCATAATAGATTTAAAAACTCCTTGGTAATGTAATGAATATTATCAGCAAATAAATATTAATAAGTGCTGGATAATATCAGTAATAAATAAAATGTAAATAGTAAATAGTGAATAATGCATCCATAAATCTTACTATTTATTTTATTACTATATATTTACTAATATTATATATTTCAATAAATAAATACTAATTAATAGTAATTAATAGTAAAATTGCTGATGTATATAATTTGTATATTTTTATTTAAAAAATACTTTAAAATTTAAACATAATTTTTATGATAAATTATGCTGTTTTAAATAACTTTTTACTTTTGATATATATCATAGCATAAATTACTTGAATAAATTGAAATGCAAAGATTTGAATAAAATCGTTTCGCTCTCCTGCTATTTATTTCTTTCTTAATTTTAATTTGATATATTGTTTTTCCATTTATGTTTAACGGTGCTATCGAATATGATAACGTGTGTTGAATTAATTGTACAAAAAATAAATGCATGAAACATATATATTCATAGCTGGAAGGGTTAAATATTTCAATTTAAAATTTCTCATATTAATAAATATTTTATTTCTACGTTTCGCTAATATAAAACTTCCAGATAAATGCGATAATTACTATTTATAATTCCATCAAGATCTTTTATAAATCCTTTTAAAAATGTTTACTTCGAATATGACTTGAATGTATTTTAACTAACATTTAAATTTAAATGTTAATCAAACAGGAAATAGTATTTCCTTTGCTAAATTTCTCATAACAACATTATATCTAACCTCGTGTTGAAGAAATACTTATATCTACATTTAGAATGTAACAAATTCTTTTTTCTTACTCTAGCAACTTTGTTAGTCGTGTAATTTTCACGACGTGTAATTTTCACGAATTAATTACATCTATTTCCCGTTTAATATTCATGCCAAATTATTCTGAAAAACTTATAACGTTTTTTACACCGAATTAAAAATCAGAAAAGCTGGTAACCTGATACTGCAAAATATTAAACGTTGCATCTATGCAAAGTACTTAAAGTAGTCTGCTTTGTTACAAGTTTAAAGAATATAAATACTAATCTGAATGAGAATATTCATACGAATTTATGAATCTATTCATCAACTACATTTTGACTCTACATATAATTGTTCTGGAATTGTGTATACTGATAATAATCTACAAAGTAGGTATATTATATTTTATGAATCATGTAACTGTTTTACTGAACTCTTTTGTATCAAAGAGTTATCCTAATTTGAAAAGATAAAGTCTATTATAATTCAAAATTTTTAATCATTGATGACTACAAAAATTAATTCCCAAAATTTCTATTAATTTGCAAGTATGCAACGAAAATATAATTATAGTTTAAATAAAATTCCTTAACGATACAACAAATTATTTCACGAGATTCTTAATGAAAATACCAAACTATAATTAATTCCCTAGCAATCTAATATTTAAAATAAAACAATTCCAAAATTCTTATCCCAAAAACTACAACTCGAAAAATTTCCTTTACGATGTACAATGTTCGATCAAAAGATTCCCATTGAAACGATCTTAAAATTTACATTTAAAAAGTGCAACCACAATTCACAAAAATACACAAAATTCCCAAAATACAAACTTGTCCACAAGATGATTAGAAAAATTCTTAACAAAAATTATCGTGAAAATCAAAATTGTAGTATCCAAAACCACCCTTCCAAACTATCATAACAACTTATTACCCCTTAAATCTGAAATTCAAATTACTGTACTCCGATCCCATCCCCAAAAGATTGAGAATCCACGAGCTGAGAGCCGTTTTCCACGGTATACGCGGAACGAAGAGTTCAGGAAGATTGACGAGGAAGGCAGTGACTCGGTCGTCGGGAAGGGCGACGCAGAAGGGCGAAAAAGGGAGGTGGCAAATAAGACGGAGGGATCGCTCGCGTGGATTCGGCTCGCTTCATTCGCGCGTGTGACGAGGACAGAGTAAAAGCGGAACGGAGTGTGCGACGAGGCGCGCGAGAAATGAGCATACGGAGAAGAAGAGACGGAGTCGGCGGTCGGCCAGTGCGCGAAAAGAATAGCTGGCTGATTCATACGCGAAGTCACGAGCCGTACGTCGTACGCAGCCGGCGTACGGCCGTGCAAGCGTAATCGAAAACACACGAGATGCACACGTTTCACGGCGAGCTTCCCTTCTTCTTCTTCTTCTTCTTCTTCTTCTTCTTCTTCTTCTTCTTCTTCTTCTTCTTCTTCTTCTTCTTCTTCTTCATCGTCGTCGTCGTCGTCTTCTTCTTCTTCTTCTATTCCCTCCTTCGCGACCGTTTTTATACTCGGATTCTTTCTTCCTTCCGCGAACGTTCTTCGATGCTCGCGAATCATTCGAGTTTTGTGCTTTACGAATTATTTCCCTACAGTTTTTCTAATCAGTGCATAATTCAGATTAAGTCAAATTCTATTCTATTATTAGACAAAATTAAATTCATCTCGTATAAACCTATCAAAAACAAATGTTTCCTAATTAATCTAATCATCGATCCTCTCTTCAACGCGTTGGAAGAAGAGAAAAGAGATCGAAAGAACCGAAAATTCTTTTTATCAAGATCGGTGAAAGGATTCAACCAAAGGAGTAAAATATCCTACCCTATATATCCTACCAGTACCTACCAATCAGACGCACGAGGCATCGCGTCTTAAAGGTGGAAAAGGGTGTAAAAGGGAAGAGGATAGAGAAAGTGGGCGCACGGTTGGAATAGTTAAAAATAACCTGGCCAAGTGTCCTGCGCCGAGCTCCGGTTCCTGTAAACAGATCCGTGGGGAGAGGCACGGCAAAAGAAGCAACGGAAGAGACACGCGGCTCGCGTGTACCACCTCCCGACCAAACGAGAGCATCCAATAGAGTCTCCCTGGTGGTCGAAACGAGACAGAAAAAGCATAAAAGGAGTATCACATTTGACGGTAGTACTCACGTGCTTCCATAGAGGTATCTTGACTCGGCGGTGGCAACTGCGTC